TAGCAACATATACACACACAAGTAGACAGACATCAGGTAGACAGACAGACAGATGGATAATTTCAAACTCTGCCATCTTCTGATGGTGGTGATTAAGGACAAAGGAATGTCCTTTAAGAAGCATCAGGGAGAAGTAGGTGAAAGAAAATGAAAAAAAAAAACCTATGGAAGTTCTATAGAGTGGATGCCAACCTCTGTATGATTGAGGACATATATAAATATTTTTTAATGGAAAAGAAATCATGCCTGAGTCTTCTAGAGAGTTTTGAATAGTCTGACTTCCAGAGGTTTCAGTTAGATATATGACAAGTCTCCTTTATTTTTTCTTTCCTCTTTCTTTCTCCTTCCTTCCTCCCCTTTTTCCTTTTTTTTTCTTTTTTCCTTCCTTCCTGTTTCATTTCAAATCCAACTAAAAGAGAGAGGACCTCCCCCTCCCTCCAAAACCACATCCCCTAAATATGTGGCTTATAAACAGATCAAATGAACAGGAACTCAGGTTAATTTAATAGAAAAAATAAAATATGGAATAACATTGATTTTGGCCAGTATCAATTACAACATTTCTACTATATTTTACAAAAAACAACTGAACATTTTACACATGTACAGTATTTTGTTTCTCAATAAAAATGAATTTGGATTTAACAATGGGTCACTAGTTTAAAAAAAAAAGAAAAAGGAAACAGTGGATATGAATTTTTGTCTCTATAATAATGTTAGAGGCATTTGTTAAGTATCCAAACAAATTCTTTGCTATTCATTACATAATTATATCTCAATTATGAATATATATATATATTTATACATAATATATATAAAACATTAACTTAAACTTTGAAAGCATTATGTTCTAGTTAATAATGTTATGTAGAGAAATGAGGCAGTAACAGACTAGTACTTAAACCAGTATAAATATACTCAAAATTTGGATGGTCTATGGGAAATGAAGTGGGTATGGGTGGGGTTCCATAGCTTTCGAAGTGACTGTGCTTTTCCCAAATAAAAATCATAATTTATTGCCTTTCTAATCGCATCAACTTTGAGCTCCAAATGATCATAAGCTACTCTAGCTAAATGGATTCTTCAAACAAAACAAAATTATGTTGACTTGGGATATTCTCTTGACATTATTTTATGTTCCTAGTTACATTTGTCCATAGTTCTAGACAGGTAGGCACCTGAAAATTTAAGCCTGTGTTCTACTTTTGCAAGTTTCATCCCTGCTTTCCTAAAGCCAGGTGTGGCCTACAGTATCATAAATGGAAAACAAACGAATGAAACCTATTGTTTCTCTAGTTCTTCATAAGTTGATATGTAGCTCCATATGCTTTTAATGCCATTAAAAAAATAACAAGTGGTTTTTTTTGTTAAATTTGAAATGTGGCTTAACAGTAATAAAACACTATCAGAAAATCCATTCTGTCACTGAGACACTAAAATGGCATCCTGATTATTTAGATGGACACTTTAGTGTTGTACTCCTCTATTTCACCAAAACAACGGACTGACTTTTGACTCATTTTACTTCCTTCTCACAGATATAAAGGCCAATTACTCCTAAGGATTCAAGGTGTTAAGAAACAGAGAGCAGATAGTTACCTGATAGCTCCCAGGTTAAAAAAAAATGTCCTTCTTTCACCCCAACTTTAAAGAGGAAAAAAAACAATCACAAAAAACCCTAAGTGCACAGTCTAATTTTGGTATGTTAAAAAAAGAGAGAGAGAGAGAAACTTAAAATCCAGCTATGTTCCCTGAAATATAGCCCTCTTTCAATTTGTAGAGATCTCTTCAAACTGAGAAACTTGGAAGTGACAAGAGGTTGTATTTGACTTTTTCCAATTCTGCCAATTCACCCAAAACATTTTTTTTTCCTCTGGTGTTTAGTTTGCTGGTTTCTGTAATGTGTAAAGGAAGTGAGAGAAAACCACAAGAGAGGGAATGCCCAGCAAACTGGGGACCACGAGAATGCTCAGGTAAGAACTAAATCATGACAAGGTTAAGGAGGAACAGAAACAAGTGACGGAATAACAGAATCGGTGGTGGGGGGAGGGTACAATTATGCCACCAACATACTATTTTCCAGATGTGTTTTCTTCAGATAACAAGAGAAAAAAAACACTACAGCACCATTTGAATGAATTACCTGGCCATATTGGGCACAAGCTTGAAAATGATTATGTCATTCATTAAAAATACAGAAAGTTAAAAAAAAAAACAAACAACTTGTTGATTCTAAGAAAGTCCCTTTATCATATACCTCCTAGCATATTGGTCCAATTTGGAAAGATAATTTTTTTTTATATTCTTTCCTCCTCACTAGCCCCACTCCCCACTAGTATAACCAAATTAGGTTCTGGAAAAATTTAAGCCAGTATGACAAGGTAGATATCATAGTCTATAATGCTAGTATTTTGGGGTGGAGGGGGGTAGTGAAGACAGTTGATGCTCATATCTTCTAAGAGCTTCATTCAATGGCTAGGTTGACCTTGCTGATTTGAAACATGAACAGGGATCACTCAATTCAATGGTATTTGTTGAATGGAATGGAATTTGTGTTAAAAAGCTCCCAAAGAGATACAGTTAAACCAATAGCAGCAAACCTGCCCCTGGTGAAACCCAGGTGGACCATTCCATTCCTTTGTTCCCATGTTTGGTTCCCATTGCCTTCAAACAGGAAGCCGAGAGCAGACCTTTCAAGTTAAGTAAATTAAAACAAAACAAAACAAAAGAAAAAACCCAGTACATAGCACATGAAGTAGATGACAGTGGGCGAGTGTCAATTTTCACCTTGGAAAGACTGTGGCCAAGAGACATGGGTATAGCACTTCTGCATGATCATCATTCTCTCATGCTTTCTTTCCTGAAGTCTCCCCCCTCCCCCAACTATGGACACACGCACACGGAAGACCAATGGGAGCATTTATTCTGTTTTAATCCACGTCAACCTGTCGAGTACTCTTGAAACACGTCTTTCATCATCTCAGAGGGGAAACAGGCAAGAAAAAGAGAGGGTAGGGTGGAGGGAGGAAAGGGCCTCCAAAAACAAGGAAACTCTGAAGTTGACAGGAAATCAAATCGTTAGTTTAACCTTCAATTTTGGCATCAAATGCTTTGGTCACCACACAATACTGACTCTGTGATTCTGGGCGCTTAGCACCAAGTGCCCAGTTATAAAAGGTAGGCTTGTTGTAGTTTTTTTTTTTCTTTTTCATTTAAGTTCTGACAAAACAGTTCACCATCTCCCAGCACAAACTTGAGAGAGAGAATAAGAGCGAGAAAAGAGAGAGCGGTGGCTTTCTTGTTTTTCTTTTTCTTTTTCTTTTTTTTTTTTAATAATAATAATATGGATTAATCTAGAAGTCTACAGGAACAGAGAGATTCTGGGTAGTGGCCTGCTCAGCCTTGATATGTACAAGTTTTACAACAGAGTTGCTGAAGGACCTTCCGCTGACAGAGGTTGTTCTTTTTGACTAGCATACAAAAGCTGCCCTCGGCCCACGATTCTTCCGTTGCTATTCCATGAATGGCCAGCAAGAAAGGGAGGGGAGTTGGAGACGTAGACAGCATGGTGCGCACCCATGGAAGAAGGTTTTGATTGGTCAGAGAGGTAGATTTGGGGAGGGGAGGGGTCAGAAGAAACCATTCAGGAGCAGTCAACAAGAAGGAAATTTGGTCCACCCCAAGTGATTTCAATCAACAGCATTGTTTCAAGAAGAGATATTGCAGTCCGACAGGGAGTGTGATTGGTATCCATTTTATGAAAAGGAAAAACAAAAAACAGAAGACAAAAAAAACAGATTAGAGAAAGGATAAATCAGAAATCAGTAATAAATACATCAAAGAAATTTCATATTTTGAATTATCTAGAGTCAAAGAATATACAGTCATATGTATTTGAAAGAAAATAAACAAACAAACAAATAAAAAAAACCCATGAATTCCAAACAGCAAGTGAATTCGTTTTGGAAAATCTGGTGTGTCTCCAGTGTTGTCATCTCTGAATGGTTCAACAATGCAAATGATACAGCTCCCTCTTTCACTTTGATCTACACAGTGCCCTCTTGCCTAAATAAGGACTTTACCAGCCTATCAAGATTAGCTCATATGCTTATGAGCAAGGGTGAATTCTATGGCAAGGACAACACAAGGGGTATGGCTTGGATTTTCAAAATCTATTAAAATTCCTGCCTGCCTGTAGCCCAGAATAACTTGAGTTTGGCTTGAGATGTGGGCCTCTTCAAATCTGTATGACTGTCACGGCACTAAATTTTTCTAGAGAAGACAGAGTATCTTTCTCCATACTTTGTGGATGTAGAGACATCTTCCCCACCTTTTTAAAGGCCAAAGATGTGTGCTTAAATGCCTTTGGTACTATGTAACTGTTGGGGATATATTTGTACAGCCTTCAAGGCTCCTTTGCCACGTCTCTCACCCCAGCATTGTGTAGGCATACATCAGAATCAGTTCTAGAGATGGAAACTTCTGCCAAATGATTCCAAAATAGAACCTGAGGTGGTGGTTTTGGTTTCTTCCCAGACTCGTTTCAATTTTATATCTCTCAGAGGAGGGGACATTCATTTAAAGAGGAAAAAAAAAAGCCCTGTATAACTCTTGGGAACAGGACAGACTCATAGACTGTGAGTGCCTTGAGAGCCAGTACCGTCTTTTGTCTTTCTTTGTATCTTCAGACTATCTGGCGCACGTAGATGCTTACCAAATGCTTATTGAATGACATTGCATTTTTTATTAATTTTTGCCTCTTTGTGAAAATTTCAGGCAGAGGTGAAAAGCAGTCAAAGGAAGGGAAAGAAAAAAGACACAATGTCTTCATTATGGTCAAATGGGATTGTCTTTCAAAGTCATGATCCCACTCCCCATATCAAAGCTGTGCTTAACTGATTTGTTTCTAGGATGACATAAGTATATGATACATCACTGCAAGTATGAAAGTTCAAGGGCACTTATTTCTATACCATTCTTTGATGAAGCATCGTAAAACACTGTCAGTATAACTGCATGGACACAAAACTAAGATCCCAACTTGAGCAGAACTTGTCTGTGTAAGAGATGGGAAGTTAATTATAGAATCATAAAATGTCAGAACTAGAAAGAACCTTAGAGTCTAGACACTTTGTACAGAGGAGAAAATCGAGGCCAGAGAAGTGATTATTATTTGCTCAAGGTCACAAGCCACATCTAATATTTGTATTCAGAGAATATCATGACTAATTGAATCAGATTTCAACCTCTCTTTTATTTCCATTTCTTTATCCTTTGTTCTGGGCCATTAGTCTATTTGTTTGGTAATTGGAGAATTTTGTAGCATGTTCTATAGGCATAAAATATTGCAGAATGTAAGTTATTGAATAGGACAGATAAATGTCCTAAAACTAAACGCCAGAGAAATACTTTTTTTTTTTAACACGTGAAGACATACAGATAATGGAACCCAATACAATAAATTGGGAAATTCTTGAATCAGTGTTTTAACAACAAAAGGACCTGTTTCTCCATTTTCTTGGTTATGCATGTTTCAGCTACCATCAGTTTTCCATCCTTATGGAATAAATAGATTAATCTTCTGTTTATAGGTAAGGGTTTTCATTCATTTTATTATTCTATAGTTTAAATTATTACTTGATGATGAATGACAGGTAAGAATACCAGTGGAAAGCTTTTGCTAATTGCTGACAGCACTCTTTCAAACTATCAAAAACAGGAAATCTTATCAGCCTGCCCTGCCTATCACCCCTTTAACAAAATTTAAACCGCATGAGGTTCCCCATTATAGTGATCACAACTGATCACACAGAAGATCAAATTAGAACTCCAGTACTCACCATCCTTACAGATTGCTCCAAGGACGCAGGACCCTGTATCTAAGAGATAATTACTAGGGCAACTGGTACAGTTTCTGTCTCCGGGACCACTGCAGGCCAGACAGCTGGCAGCACATCTAAAAAACAACATAACGACTTATTATTATTTTCTCTCATATGACTCTTAGGAGAAGGCAAGCATAATGATATCTCCCCCAAATTCCCCACTTGGAGATGACACAAAATCTTTTCTTAGGATAATTGTTCAGTTCAACAATATTACAGGAAACATAGCAAGTAGAAATTTCCTTAAATGTTTTCAAGATCTTGCTCATTTGAAACAGAGAAGCAGGACTTCAAAGGCTTCTGAGGATCATAATTCAAGGCCTACTTTTATTCAACAAGCATTTATTAAGTTCCTGCTGTGTTCTAGGTGTTGAGGATATAAAGGCAGAAATGAAACCATTCCTGTCCTCCAGGAGCTTCCATTCTATTGGGGAGAAACAACATACACTCAGATAAGTAAATACAAAAAATATCCCAAATGATGTACAAAGTAATCTAGGGGCTCAGGGAGAGGGTAGTAGTGGCTGATAGGATCAGGATGGGCCTGGTATATGAAGAAGCACTTGGGGTGAACCTTGAAGGTAACTAGCAATTCTATAAGATAGAAGGGGGGAAGAAATCTATTCTAGGCATCGGAAAGAGCCTGGGCAAATAAACACAGACCTTATTAAATGTAACCTTTCCTAATCCCCCAGCTCCTAGATACTTCCCTCCTCCAAACACATGTATTTATTACATTGCCTCTATGCTCTGTGTACTTACTTAAGTGCCTCTTGTCTTCTTCTCTGTTAGAATATAAGTGCTCTGAGGGCAGGCACTGTTTCATTTTTGTCTTACTAGCCTCCCGAGCCTAGCATTGTGCCTGCTACCTCATCACCACCACAAACATTTATTTAATAGTTTAGGTTTTTTTTTTTTCCACTCCTTCTCTTGGAAAACAAAAAAATCATTGAT